AGGCCAACATGAATGAACTGATTTTGAGAGAGGGGAAGGAGAGAAAGACTACATACATTTCCTTTTGCAAATGTAGCATTTTAATTCGTTTTGCTGAACACTGGGTTAAAAATGCACATGCCTGGTGATTAAATAGAAATCATGGTGATCATTCGTTGCTGCTAAGCTGCTGCAGAAATTGCTCTTGAATATCTCAGTATCACACCCGGTCCCAAAAGAGTTAATCGCACAGATGCAAGAATTGACACATTTGTTGCTGGAACAAGGAAGGAAAGAAGCTGTTGTATGCCAAGTCTGGATATTTGTCCATGTAGCACCAGATCTTCCACAGTAACTAGGTTCACATGACATTACCATGTTATCCAAACCCACCATGGCTTATTTAGGGTAGCTTATAAGTCAATTTAGTGGATTTATAAGCACCCCAACAAAGCCATGGGTTTGAGAGCCCGCCATCTCATCTTAACCCAGACAACGAGCCCACGAGTCGCTCAACTGCTATAGGACTGGTTGGCAAGAATGCCCAAAAGGCTTGCAGCTCCTACCAAGAGGCTTTGCTTGAGTGATGACAGCTGCCCTCAAGTGCCCAAGCCGCCCTTGAGGTCAGAGGTGCTGTGCACAGCCGACCCACACTGCTGTTGAGTTTGGGTTTGATGATTTTGCTGGGACCTCAAGAACCAGCTGCACCCCTACCTGCTGTTATAGGGCTGGTGGAAAAGAGGAGGTCACTCCAGTCAGGTAGGTAGCCACATAGAGTGCTGTATAAGCCACTCTGGGCTGCCCATGTCCTGCCCACTGACTTGTAACAGCTTACCAAGGTTCCTGATAGGAATCTTTGTCCAGCACTACCTGGAGATGTCAGGGACTGAGCATGTGCTCTGCCATTAAGCTATGAAGCCTCTCCAAAAGGATATGCCCTGCAACCTAGAGGAGCCAAGGGTAGCTGTAACGAGTTTCTGAAAAATGTGCTAGAATCCAACCCAGTAGGAGAGCTATTGCAATATAATCACCCTGCAATTTATTCTGGTGCTGACTCAGCCTGTTTGGAACATAATCAGCTTTGGTGATTGCTCCTTTTCTGTCCAAATTGCACCAGTTTCTTCCCAATTTCCATGCACTTCATGGTTGGGCCAGAGTATTAATTAGGCTGCCTATTCAGAATGGGTGAGTGACAATTTCTTATCCATACTGTCCCTAAATTATACTTTACATTTTATCAGGAGAAATGCACAGGAGCATCATCCTAGAATGCTGGAGAGAAAACAGTTCATGTGACATTTGATTCTGAGCACCTCTGCATGGGACGGCTCATTCAAACAAGTAAGGTACCACAGTGAGGCCACAGGCATTAAATGATGAAAATGCCTGCATGAGTCAGTCCTTTTTCAAACCCACACTGCAAGGCTGCACTGCTCGATGAGGAAAGCACTACAAGACATACCTGTTTTCCCCTCCAGCGGAGGAAAGGACAGAGTCCAATGGGGCAAAGCTCAAGGAAGTGGGTTTCAGGTTGGATATTAGGAAGTACCTCCTGACAGTCAGGACCCCTAGGATATGGAATGGGCTTCCATGGGAGGTGATGGAGGATGTTCAAGGAAAGATTGGACAACCACATGTTGGATATTACATGAGCAGAGCTGGCTGGAGCTGTGGGTCAGATTAGATGGTCTGGGAAGCCCCTTTTGACTCACTATGTTTCTGCCTTAATGCAGCAATTTTGTGCCATGCCAGTAAAGAGAAGAGGCAGGATAAAACAAGAGGCAACATAGTGTGGGATCAGGACTGGCACCATAGCAAGCAGTAGTAGAGAACTCATCCCACTTCAAGACAAACTTAAACATTTACTCAAAATGATTATTTTTGTGAATGAATGTGGTCCTAGTACTCAGCACTGTCCTGTTCTAAAAGACTGCCCAAAAGATGTCTGGATTAGTAAAGGAAACACTATAAGTAAGGGCTGTGTGCACATGTGTTATGCACACATGTGCATGCATGTTCCTTCATATAACTTCATCTCTGTGTGTCTGTATACACATATATACGCTTTGCATTGCTGTTGTATTTGGATCCTATGGTACTGCACTTGCTTTCTTGCTTATCTTCTGGAGGCTCCTGCTATCTGTGCTAGACACTCACACCCACTCTGAGTAATGAAGCGGCTATTGAGCCACTTCTTAGACCATTCACAGCAGGAAAGTGCCGTTCAGATCCATGGAAGATCAAAGAAGGCAGTGGGAAAACAGGAAATGGAAGCTGTGCTGGATTCTCCTCTGTGGGCTTTGTTCCAGCCATCTAGTGAATTTTATAAACTGAAAAACAGGTTGTATGACACACTCAATCACTGGTAACAGCTCACTAGTTAGGAATTCAAGATTGAATTCAACATTGTTCACCTCAGACATTCCCTCAGATAATGCTTTATAATCTTGCTCACCTAAAACAAACTTTTAATGTAAAAAGTATAGGCACAAACCAACACTAATGACTGGAAGCTGCACAATGGAAATGCTGTGTTCTTGTACACCTCTGACAGAGTCCCGTGGGGAAATAGGTGCCAGCAAGCTGAACCAAATGCTTTCATGTGCTAGACTGCATAAATATGGGTCTGAATGGCATCTACAACTTACTTGATCAGATTTCTACTAGAAACAACAGCAGTAATAGCAAGTAAGTTGCTGCACTGGGAAAGGAGATCATGTCTGCAATTCATGTAAATAAAAAGGTAATCACAAAATTTCATGGAGTACTATTGTTTAGTTTTTCAGACTCTTATGACTCTTGCGACAGACTTTCTGCTGGGAATTGATGTGCCTTCCTGAACTGATCATGAGCACTAGACCTTCTCGGCAGCCATTTAGATCAAATTAAAATGGACAGATAGGAAGGCATGGATACTGAAGTTATCTAGCACTACCTTAAACTGTGTTCCTCTAACAAACCCAGTATAACCAATCTTCTGTTATGCTTTCAGATACAGCCAGTTTGGTGGAACACTTGTGCTTCTTTTTTGAACAGAATGTATCATAAAAAGTTTTGAGATTCCTTTGAGCAGCTCTTACCTCAAACATGAGAAATCAAATCCCTGTATAAGCTTCCCCTCAAGCCAAGGTTAAGGGCCAATTTTGACATTAACTTGAAGGTAAGGGAGTTGCTACAGCGTATGCTACTCCCATAGCATGCAGGCAATGACAGAAGGTCTGGCTCATGTGAAAGGAGCCCACCATGTGGTTTCCTCCTAGGCCAGTGCTTGCCTGCTGCCCATGAAGGAGTCAGACTTCATCACTTAATCATACTGAAGAAGTGCCCATGGGCACATCCTGCAGCAACTCTAGAAGCCCCAATCATAATAGTCTTAAAAAGACATGCTAAACTTAATTGAAACCTACCTGATGGTTCAGGTAGCCTTCATTGGCTATTAAATTTGGTGCCCGGTATAATACTGGACTCCAGAATTAGCAGCTTGAAAAAAAAATCCTGAGATTGTGAGAAAGGATTCATAGATTCAATATCCTCCATTAGAGAAGGGAAAGTACTTGAATTGTGTGTTGTAGCTGGGTTGGCAATCTATTCTCCCATTTAAATTAGAGCCCTTCAAGACAGTTCCAAAAATGTAGTTGCCCACAAAAACAACCTTACTAGGCCACTTATTGGTTTATGCCGTTCTAGCCATTTGTAACACCTAGAGAGTCTTAAAAGAGGGGAAAGGAGTTGCCCTACTTTTTCCAGTTGCTTGCAACTAGCTTGCATAGTCACTTGGAGGACAGGTCTTAGACTATACATGCATCTAAGAAAAGTCTTAGATGCATATATAGCCAAATGCAGGAGCATATAAATATTTATATTATTACTTTAAGCATTATGTCAAAAAATGCAAGACAAAACTTCCACTCAGGAAATTTACACAGGCAAAGTACTTACTATTTGAGAAATAACAATAAGTACATGCTTATTGTTAACAAACTATTTACAGCAGTTCCCATGGTCGTTTGATGTGCAGATATTGTCATCCGATAAGACATTAGAAAATCCACTTTTTAAAATTTGCAGTGAATGAATTTAGTCAACACTTCAACCTCTGTTTTTCTGTGATCACAATTCTAGTTCATTTGTTCTAAATCAGCTTTCAGAACTGCTGACAGCAGAGAAAAGGCAGATAAATGGGGCTCAGGAGGGAAATTGAAAAGGGGTAACTACACCCACTTTAGCTTCTGGGTCCGTCCACCACCAATCTATGGTAGCTATCTATGTTTGTTATCTTTGCCCCATAACAAAATAGCCCCAAGGAAAAGCAACCTCAGAAGAATGAAAGGCTCTTCCCATCAATTTTATCAGTCTTCCCATTTTTTAAAATATAGAATTAATAAAGGGTACAGGAATTTTCATTATAATGAATAATGGTTTATTATGCTAAGCTATAACACTATGCAATTCATGGTGAAGATCTGTGTGCAACATGTAATGCTTATGCAAGAATATCTTCCTTCTATGGTAGGCTGTAAAATTTGAATTACATCTAGAATTGATGCATCAATTTAGCATAAAAAGTTTACTAACTGAAAAATTAGTAAACTTCATACAGAAAACATAATGTGAATTCTGAAGAAAGTTAATTTACTTATAAGCAATGGTCAGGGCCCAAAGAGCTATTTTTGACCCACCCAAAGGCCGATGGTTATCCAGGAAATGTTTTTGTGTGTGTGTTTTGTTTGTTTGTTTGTTTGTTTTGGAACAGTTGATATTTCCCACTATCACACAAACCATTTTTGAAGTCTTGTTCCCTGATTTCAAAATCAGATTTCTGTGGACTGCTGGTTAAGGAAATACTAACTGAAAGCCAACCTGGAATCCAGCAGTTATCTCATTGTTCCCTGGATCCTAGTCACAATCTTTAAACACCATATTCCCATTTGTATTGTAAATTCATTAATACACATTTTCACAGCTGCTATAAAAACAATATAAGTCAATATTACCAAATTACATGTAGTACAGAGTCTTACCGTGTAGCAAGCTTATGGCAAACGACACCAGTGTCTGTTATGACTTCACTCAGCCTTAATTCTAAATGGACCTTTCCCTGAAATACAGAATGGTAAAGCACCATATGAACATTACATATAATTTCAGTAATTCCTTAAAAAAACGCTGATGCTGTTATAAATCTCAAGCATACAGACTGTATGAGACCATGATTGATCAAGTAAGCTGAGTTTCAAAATTCAGCTTCACTCAATGAATAACGAAGAGAGAGTGTACCAGATAAGCTAACTAACGTGCGGTCTTATGCACGTTTAGACAGTAAAAAGCCCTACAACTCCCAGAATGACTCTGCCAGCTTAGCTAAAATGAATGGGGTATACTACAAGTTAGAGGTCTTTGTTCAGTCCAAGCTTGCATAGGATTGCACTTTAAGTGATCTTTTATCTAAATTTAACAATTGCAAGGAATTGTGTTTGAAGACAAATGGGCAACAACAAGCTTTGCTTGTATTGACTATATCCCCAGCATTCAAAGAGTATCATATACATTAGCTTAGAAATTTAATCCATAGCCTTGGGAGGCAGGCAATGATGGGGAAGCATAATAATTATTATTTTCAGATCTATTTACATTCTGTGTAACAAACCTGTATCTGCATTTGGTTTTTCTTTTTGAGGCAGAAACTGCATCGGCACATCTTGGAAGTGGGAGGAGAACTGAAGGGTGGCTAAGTTCCAAGACACACTTAATCTGCAAGGCATCGTTCAGGTCAGCCTGTACTGAAATCCCCAAGTCAATGGCTGCAGTGGAATCTGAACTCACACCTACTGCTTGAATCTGGTCACACTGTCACACAGCCCATAATTTATCTACCTGGCTTTTTACATGGGCCAGAGTCAATTGCAGGAAGGTGTTCAGGGACAGCATTCTAATGTGGGTAGGGCTAGCGGGAAAGCGGGAGGACCCAAAATGCCAGGTTATTGTACCTTAAAGCTCTTACTGCCAGTAGCTAAGCCCTTTGAGATACATTTTAACCTTTTGGAATGATGAGTGAAGAGAAATGCTCAAAGGGCAAAAAAACACCAAATGGGGCAGGAGCCATGGTAAGCTGGAGAACTCCAGAGGGCTGGAATGGGAAGAGAAACATATTTGATCTCCAAAATCAAAGCTCAGCACCACTGCTTTACAGAGTGGAAAACAGAGATTTTGCAGGCTTCCACTCATGCCTTTCAAAATAGAATCAAGCAGAAAGAAATCTCTAGAAAATAGCTAAAAGGGTCATGGCACCACATTAGTGCAATTATTGCTGAAATACTTGGTTGCAAAACACAGGTGTGGCTTAAAGTACACTTACTGCTGTAATATGCTGATAGATGCACTGCGCACCAATGCTCCCATAAAAACAACATGCTCCTACCTATGTCAATTATGCCCTTGGGTAAAATACAAGGGCCCATTAAATGATTTTCTCATGGGTGTTCTGATTCAAGCTGTCTCCAGAGTACTAGAGAAAGCATCTCTTCATGCAACGCTATGAGAGAAAAGCTGACTGGATTGTAATTTCAATTTATAACCAGGGCATTATAAATATTTAGACAGATACACAACCTTAATTCTAGCACATGCAGAATTGAAATAACCAACAGCTAGACAAGAAGGTTATAAAAGTATATTTGCTTTAGGATAATAAAAGTTTTAAAAAACTAGAAATAATTATATCCAGAGAAGAATGGACCAGATGATGAGGATTATTTTATCTATTCGTTAAGCGATTAGAGGGGAACAAAACAGAGGTTTTATATAAAGACATCAAATGTATGGAATCAAAATTATGTGCTGTGACTTGGATTCCAGTCATGGGATGGTCCTGCTGCCAGAATGGGAGAAGATTTTTACTAATTTTTCCTTCCTCTTGTAGTCCCCCAGAACACCTGCACTGCAGAATGCACAGCATGAGAGGTGGAATAAAGAATTACAGGAGGAAGGGGGAAATCAGTAAAAGCCGTCTTCTGCACTACTACCAAAAGAAACCTCTGCGGAATCAAAGATCCTCTACAAGCAGAAAGAGCTCTTCCAGTCTCAGAACAGCAAGTGTAGGAGATCTAAGGCAGCCTCTTATAACTTTCAGTACAAAGAAAATGAATATGGTAAGCTTGGGCACTTGGACAGGGTGGAAACACAAAGAATTATTGGCGAGAGAGAGCACACTGTCAGTGGAAGCAGTTGCCACATCCCAAAACAAAATCAGGAGGTCACTTCAACAGCTCTATGAAACATACATTATTAGATGAATCCCCATTCCATTCCAAGTAACTGATAGGTTGCCCTGCATACAAATGACCAATGGAAATGGAAGCAAAGTTTAATTTCTCACTTACACACTCATATCTCCTCTCCCCCACCCCCCAGCTCTCCCTCAGGACATAAGCCTGTAATACAGCTAGTCCTAAGCCCTGGTAAAATGACAATTTTGTACTTGTGATTTTTACTGTTTTTATGCCAGCAAATCACTTTAAGCAGGCATGGGGAATCTCCAGTCTCTTGCATTCTTTTACTCACCTGGGGGCTTCTAGTGCTTTTGTGAGCTATTATGTGAAGATCACTCCAGGGTCTTGAAAGGGTGGCTACCAAAGCTTCATCTGAGCAGGGGAAGCATGTTAGATATTGAACATCAGTCTTGCACCCCAAATCATGAAGGGTTTCCTCTTGAAATAAGTGAATTCATTTGCTCACATATTTTATGTGGTCCAGGGTGGATTTCTACATTCAGCCCTCTCTCTGATTTTAATCCAAGAGGAAGCAAAGTCTATGGATCACCAAGATGCAAGCCTGATTTCAACATTTGCTTAAATGCTGTGAACTCTGCAACTAAAACTGGCACAATCTGCTGTTCATTTGGGCAAATTCACTGTCAACTACAGTAGTTGAGGCTGCTCAGTAGGTTTCTTGATGCTACAGTGGTGCCACTGTGCACCAGATCTTGCTAAAGGGGTTACTGCTACAGGACCAGAGACAAGACAGGGGAGTTGTGATCCTGCCAATAGAAGAGTCCTGGCATTAGAGGGTCAGATGAATTAACCGATGCAGGAAGCATTAGGTGATAGGGTAACATTACTGGGAGAGAAGGGGGATGGGTAGGAAGAAAGAGCAGGTTGCTTACCTGTAAGTGATGTTCTTCGAGTGGCCATCTGTGCAGTCACACATATGGGTTCTGCGCCTGCACAGTGCCTTTGGCCGGAAGATTAACAGCTAACGGTTTGGCGGGAAACTCCGCTCCCCCACCCCCGTAGTAGTATATAAGGAGCGGAGTGTCCGCCATTTTCCAGTCTTTAACAGACCAGATGTTTGCTCCCAAACAAAAAGTTGTAAAAAGAAATAAAGTCACAGGATTTTTTTTGTTGGTACGGAATAAAACAAAACCTCTCAGTGGTACAACAAGCAGAGAAATTAGCTCGGTATCGAAAAAAAAAGTCGGACCACCCATGACACCAAGCAGAGCCGGTGGGTGGGTTGTGTGACTGCACAGATGGCCACTTGAAGAACATCAGTTACAGGTAAGCAATTTGCTCTTCTTCGTCATGGCCTCTGTGCATCACACATATGGGTAGAAAAACAAGCTTACCCGAAATGGCGGAGGGAGGTGTCATCAACGAAGAATAGATGAAAGAACAGCTCTGCCGAAAGAACAGTCCTGTCTAGCACGAACATCCAATCTATAATGTCTTGCAAAATTACATGGAGTAGCCCAGGTGGCAGCTCTGCAGACATCCTCAATCGGGACTCCTGACACAAAGGCTGAAGAGGCAGCTACAGCCCTAGTGGAGTGGCCCCTTGGAGTTGTCGGTAAGTCTATCTTGGCTAACTGATAAGACAGAGTAATAGTGTTAACTATCCATTTAGATAGCCTCAGAGGAGTAACTGGGAAGCAACGACGAACATCTAGCGTATGCAGAGACCTCTCGACTGGATTCGAAGGAGCCGGAAAAAATGCAGACAAGATAATAACCTGATCTATGTGGAAAGAGGTAGCCACCTTTGGGAGAAGAGACAGATCCATTCTTAACACTACCTTCTCCTTGTGAAAAATTCAAAAATGGAGGATCTACTCTGAGGACACAGAGTTCACTAGATCTATGGGCTAAAGTAACTGCTATAAGGAAGGCAGTTTTCCAAGAGACCAGATATAGATCAATTGTTGCCAGGGGCTCAAAAGGAGGCCGTGTTAGTGCCTGTAGTACCACTGAGAGACTCCAAGTGGGCATAAACAGCCTAACTGTTGGATGGAGATTGCAAAGTCCTTTGAGGAATCTCTTAATCAGTGGCTGAGAGAAAATGGAAAAGCCCTGCACAGTCCCACGGTAATAGGAGATTGCTGCCATATACACTTTTATGGAGGAAGGTTTAAGACCAGAATG